CCTGTCAACCATCAACTCCCAGTTTACTCTGCTCTTGGCCATTGTTTCCAATCTTAGAAGCTGCTGAGCTGTGATTCCCCCCACAACTGAAAGGAAAGCTTAGAGATGTAGCTGGCCCAATGTTCGTCTCACCTGAGGCCTCTCACCTTAGTTTCACTCACAGCTTTTATGTAGGTGTGTTCAATGTTTCTCTGCTGAGGTGAAGTTTTTCTGTGGGGATGTACTGAAGCTTATTCTTGTTAGTAGTTCAGGTGATGCCACAACTGCAATGATTGTGTATTCACGCTACCTGAAATCCACTCTGGGGTTATTGATTGATTCCAAGCTACTTTGCTTCCTGGCCTCATTTTCTTAGTTCTTCTGCTGTAAGTCATGTGAAAGACTTACTTTTTACTAGAGGGTTCCCACAATGAAGACTAAAAGATATTGTTACTCCATCACATCACTGCTCTCTTCTCTTCTTCTCTTTATTGTTGTTGGTTTATTTTTTTTCTACCATTTTTGGACACTCAGGAACAATGCCCAGGCCCTGAGTTCAAGCCCCTTCCTTTCCTCCCCCTCCACACTCCCCCCCCCCCCGCTCCAACACAATTAAAAATGTTCTTGTTTAAACAGATTGTAAGAAGTGCTCCGTTACAAGAAATAATTGTATATATTTATTGTCCCAAGTTCTATGTATCAAATTAGTGAAAAATGATTAATCAACAATAAATTAAAAATATATCTAGGCATGGAGGAGGAAACTATGATGCTTTGCATATTTTAATCTTAAGTGAAAATCAAAAGATTTTCTACATTGTAATCATTTTTTTGTTTCTCTTTCTGTTTTTTTTTTTTTCACTCCAGCCTCCACCTGAATTGTAAAGTTCATTTTTCGACATAGCCTCTTGTACATCTCATTGTTGAAATAGGTCCACCTGTATCCCTATTTGAACTATTTGGTTTTTTCCTTGCCCTCCACAAATTATATCAACATCAAATACAGTGAAAACATGGGTTATACCATGGGGGTGGGACATAAAAAGCAACAGAAAAATTACATGGTACCTTATAAATTCATTAGAAACAATAGCAAGGAAGAAAAAAAATCACTTGTACCCTTATATTAACACCATCTTATCTGACTTTGTCCTTTTGTTGCAGACATATACAAATCACTGCAACTAAGGGAAACCATGGGACCTATGTTTCTTTGAGCCTGGCTTACTTCACTTAATATAATTTTTTCTAAGTCTTCCCATTTCCTAACAAATGGGGTAATGTCATCCTTTCTGACAGAATTCCATTATCTATCTGTCTATCTATCTATCTTTCTATCTATCTATCTATCTATCTATCTATCTATCTATCTATCTATCTATCTATCTATCTATCTATCTATCTATCTATATTACATTATCTTGATCCATTCATCTAGTGAGTGCCATCTGGGTTGGTTCTATACCTTACCTATGGTAGATAATGCTGCGATAAATATAGTTGTGCTGGTAATTTTAGTATGGACTTGTTTGTGATCATTTGGGTAAATGCCCAAAAGTGGGATTTCTGGGTCATAGGGGAGCTCTAGCTGTAGTCTTTGGCGGAACCTTCATTCAACTTTCCAAAGTAGTTGAACCAGTTTACACTCCCACCAACAATGCAGTAGGATTCCTTTTTTTCCACATCCCCTCCAGCATCTATTGTTATTAGAGCTCTTGAATATAGCCATTCTAATTGGGGTGAGGTAGAATATCTATGTTTTTTTGATTTGCATTTCTTTTTTTTTGTATTTCAAATTTTTTTAATACCATAGAGAGGGGTTACAATTACATGAGCAAGGTAATGAGTACATTTCTTATTCAGCATTGTTGCCTCTTCTTTTGTTTCCCCTTACCGTCCCTTTCAATCACCCCCACCCTCTCCCGCACCAAAATTGTAACGTTCATTTGCCAACATAGTCTCTTGTACATCTCATTGTTACAATGGGTCAGCCTGTATCCCTATTTAAACAATTTGTAAAATTCTCCCTCTTTGCAGATGACATGATATTGTATTTAAAGAATCTCACGGACTCCACTCCCCAATTACTCAAACTGATACAAAACTTTGGCAAAGTAGCAAGGTATAAAATTAACCTTCAAAAATCAATGGCCTTTCTGTATGCCAACAATGAGAAAAGTAGGGCTGAAATTAGGAAAGCAACTCCATTTGTAATAGCCCAACAAAAAATAAAATACCTAGGAATTAACTTAACCAAAGAAGTGAAGGACCTCTATGATGAAAACTATAAAAACTTGAAAAAGGAAATCAAAACAGAACTTAGAAAATGGGAAAAACTCCGATGCTCTTGCATTGCAAAGAGTAACATCGTGAAAATGGCAATACTTCCCAAGGCTATCTACAAATTCAATGCAATACCCATCAAAATTCCAACCTCATTCTTCAAGGAAATAGAAGAGGAAGTCCAAAAATTCATATGGAACAATAAAAGACCCCGAATAGCAAAAACAGTCCTCAACGGAAAGAACACTGCTCGAGGAATATCACTACCAAATTTCTAACTCTATTATAAAGCCATAGTAATCAAAACAGCTTGGTACTGGCACAAGAACAGACCTTAGGACCAATGGAATAGAATTGAAAACCCAGAAATGAACCTACAGACCTATAGCTATCTAATCTTTGATAAGGGAGCTAAAAAAATACAATGGAAGAAAGACAGCCTCTTCAGTAAATGGTGCTGGCAAAATTGGTTAACTACTTGTAGAAAACTAAAGCTAGATCCTTATGTATCAGCCTGCACCAGAATCAATTCCAAATGGACCAAAGACCTCAGAGTCAAAGCAGACACTCTGAAAACATTACAGGATGGAATAGGAGAAACCCTAGGTCTCCTTGGCTCAGGCCGAAATTTTCTGAATAGAGACCCAGAAACACAACAAATCAAAGAAAGGTTGGACAAATGGGATTTCATGAAGTTGCAGAGCTTCAGCATGGCAAAGGACGTAGCCAGCAAGATCAACAGAAAGCCCAAGGATTGGGAGAAGATCTTCACTAGCCATACAACGGACAAGGGTCTCATATCTAAAATATACTTGGAACTCAAAAAATTAAATCCCCCAACAACAAATCCTCAAAGAAAAAACTGCTCAATAAATAAGTGGGCTAATGACTTAAAGAGAAACTTCTCTGAAGGAGAAAGAAGGATGGCCAATAGACACATGAAGAAATGCTCAACCTCCCTAGCCATTAAAGAAATGCAAATCAAAACAACATTGAGATACCACCTCACCCCAGTTAGAATGGCAAAAATCAAGAACTGTAATAACAACAAATGCTAGACGGGATGTGGACAGATGGAACCCTTACTTCATTGTTGGTGGGAGTGTAAACTTGTTCAACCACTTTGGAAAGTAGTATGGAGGTTCCTCATAAGACTCCACATACAGCTCCCCTATGACCCAGCAGTCCCACTTTGGGGCATTTACCCAAATGTTTACAAACAAGACCACACTAAAGCTACTAGCACAACTATGTTTATTGCAGCACTATTTACCATAGGAAAGATCTGGAACCAACCCAGATGCCCCTCAGTAGATGAATGGATCAAGAAAATGTGGTATATATACACAATGGAATTCTATGCCTCCATCAGAAAGAATGACATTGCCCCATTTGTTAGGAAATGGAAATACTTGAAAAAAATTATATTAAGTGAAGTATGCCAGGCCCAAAGAAACATAGGTCCCATGATTTCCCTTATTTGCAATATCTAGTATATGTATGAGTCAAGCAGAAAAGGTCAGATAAGGTGATGTTAGGAAAATGAACCCTAAGATATGTATTTTAAATGTTTTTTTTCTTTCATGCATTTGTTTCTAATGCAATTATAAGATTTTTTTCTTTGTTGCTTTGTATATCCCTCCCCCACAGTATAACCCCTGTTTTCACTGTATTTGATGTCGGTATAATTTGTGGAGGAGAAGGGGAAAAACAAGTCGTTTAAATAAGGATACAAGTGGACCTGTTTCAACAATGGGAAGTACAAGTTGTCATGTTGAAAGCGAACTTTACAACCTGGGGGGGAGAGGAGTGGGTAGGGGGTAGGGAGAATGGGAAAGGATGGGAAGGGTAAAAAAAGGAGGAGGCTATAATGCTTGATGAGAAATGTACTCACTCTCTTGCCCATGTAATTGTAACCCCTCTGTACAGTATTTTCACAATAAAAAAATAAAAATTAAAAAAACAAGTTGTTCTTCTTGAAATGCCCTGGGTATAGTCATTTGTTTGTTTGTTTTTTTTTTAGTTTTCTGTTCTCTTTGTCTTGTATACGAATTTACGTGATCTGTGGAAAGGAAAGTGAATCATAGAAAAATAAGGAGAAAGGATGATCAAATACAGCAGTGTTACTCACTTGGCACTATGTTGGAAATGAAGTATACAATTAGTGGGAATGTAATATGGAGGGGTAAGCAGGAGAAAATGAGCGGGGGTGATAGTTTTTTTTGGGGGTCCGGTCGTGGGGCCTGAACTCTGGGCTTGGGCACTGTCCCTCAGCTCTTCAGCTCAAGGCTAGTGCTCTACCACTTGAGCCAGAGTGCCACTTCCTTCTTTTTTCTTATGTAGTGCTGAGGAATTGAAGCCAGGGCCTCGAGCATGGAAGGCAAGTGCTCTACCACTGAACCACCTTCCCAGCCTGGGGGTGACAGTCTTTAAGAACAAATGTAATTATTACCTTACTTTTGTATTTGTAACCCCTCTGTTCATCACATGATAATAAAGATATTAAAAAAGAAGAAAAGCTGCTGATTTTTGTTGGTTAATATCAGATCTTTCTTCCTTGCCATAGTTTCAAATGAGCTTAAGTAACTTGGGAGAGGAGTCTGTGGGTTTCTTTAAATACAGGATCATGCCATCTGGGAAGAGGGAGAGTTTCACTTCTTTTCATATTTGGATCCCCTTTATGTTTATCTCTTCCCTTCGCAAGCATTAGGTAGGAATTTCAATATTATATTAAAGAGGAGTGGAGAAAGTAGTGTTCCCTGTCTCATTCTTGATTTTGGTGGAAATAGTTTTAAATTTTCATTGTAAATTATCATACTGTCTGTTTGTCCTATACAATCTTTATTATATTAAGGAATGTTCCATGGTTTCCTAGCTTCTCCCTACCTTTTACCATAAAGGGCTAGTGGTTCTTATCTAATACTTTTTGTTATCTATTGAGGTGATCATGTAGTTCTTGTCCTTGTTTCTGTTGTTGTGTTGAATTACATTAATTCCCTTGCAAATATTGAACCAGCTTTGCATTCTTGGAATGAGTCCTGTTTGATCATCGTGTATGATTCTTTTGATTAGTTGTTAAATTCCATTGGCCAGAATTTTATTGAGAAGCCTTTGCTGTTCATCAACGAAATAGGTATATAATTCTCTTTCTTTGATGATTCCCTCTTGCTTTAAAGCATTGATTTTAGCGTAGAGGTCTTTTTCAGGTCTTTTCTTAGGTTTTGAATGCTAGGTATATTTTATAGCCAATATTTGAAGGCATATATGAAATCAATTGTGATTTCAAGTTCAGTTACTTTTATTTAATGTGTTAAAAATTAAGTTTGTTTCAAACAGATAAAAGAGAAGTTATTTTTCCAATTCCAAATAGATTGACTTTTAAATGTAATTTTTGTATTACTTTAAAGTTTCTTGGATATAGGGTAAAAATGGATTTCATTGCAATAATTTTATATGGACCCATAAATTTTTTGGATCTCATATGCCTTTATCCAGTAAGTTTTGTTCCTCTGCTATTTTAAATAATCCTAATGGCCTGCAGCATTTTATTTTATTCATGCATGTAAAATCCCTCATGTTTTCATAGAATATATCTAAAGCTTTTGAAAGGTACAGAAAATCAGATAAAAATTTTCATATAGCATTTGACCCCTAATTACGCCCTGTCCCCCACAAAACCAAGATAGGCAAATCATATCTCACGGGTCAAATCCAGCCTGCTTTTTATGAATAAAGTTTTCTTGGGGCACAAAAGAAATCTAATTTCATGTAGATATGTTTTCCTCATTCCCTTCTTCTTATTTCTCTACTACTTATCTTTGAGCTTCTCTTTTACGTGCCATTGGCTCTCTCCCTGCATGGCATCCATAAAAATTTGCTTCAGCACATCAAACCATCCATGTATTCATAGTCTTCATTCCTTCATTTAAGAGAAAAGAGGGTTGTGTGAATTTAGTGAAATCTCAACTATGACGAAGTTAGTAGGAATTACACAAAACTATGCCAAACACTAAAATCAAATATTTTCCCATCCACTTCATATAACACAATGAGGATTCAGTATTTTACACAGTAATATAAAATCAAATGTAATAATGAAATTGTAAAGTAAGAAAGCTAGACAAAACTCTAGAAACTGACAAAGTATTTTGATCATATCTGGATTACCATAGGGAAGAAGTTGGAAATATAGTATACTTACATGTTCATTTGTTAAACAGCAAGCCCTCATAAAACTTCCTTCATTATACACTGCATTCTCCCAAACCACAAGGGAATTAAATTAGAATTCAACACCAGAAGCCCCCAAAGGAAATCTTGTAACACATGGAAGCTTAACAACCCACTATTGAATCTCGAGTGGGGCAATGAAAAGATTACAAAGGAAATTCATATGATATTCAACAAATTCATGATATTCAACAAAATGATCACACAAATTTCCAGCTCCTCTGGGACACAGCAAAGGCAGTACTCAGAGGCAGGTTTATAGCTCTGAGTTCCTATATCAACAAATTGGAAAGACTTGAAACCAACAATTTAATGAAGCACCTAAAGCTTCTTGAAAAAGAACAACAAGGGCTGGGAAGGTGGCTCAATGGTGGAGTACTTGCCGTGCACGCATGAGGCCCTGGGTTCGATTCCTCAGCACCACATAAGCAAAAAGAAAAAAGCCAGAAGTGAAACTGTGGCTCAAGTGGTAGAGCACTATCCTTGAACTGAAGAGCTGAGGGACAGTGTCCCGGCCCCACGACTGGCCACCAACAAAGAAAACAAAACAATAAATTAAACCCCAATCCACTGGACAGACACCAATAATTAAAATTAAATCGAAAGGAAATCAATTAGAGTAAAAAAACCTATAGAAAAAATGAACAAGACAAAGAGTTCCTTCTTTGTAAAATGAATAAAATTGACAGAACCTTAGTAAATCTTATCAGAAAAAGAAAACACACCAAATGACGAAACTCAGAGATGACAGTGGAAACATCACTACAGAAACAGCCAAGATTCAGAATATAATAAGGGGATACTTCGCAAACATTTATGCTAATAAATTTGAGAATCTGAAAGATATGGATAAATTTCTAGCAAATATTGACATGCCCTAAACTAAGATCATGTAAAACAACAGACTTGTATCAAGCATCAAAATAGAAGCAGAAATAAAAGAGCTCCCAGCCAACAAAAGTCCAGGAATATATATTCCTGGATGTATAGCTGAATTCTACAAGGCATTTAAAGCAGAACTTACAACAATACTCTTCTTTCTCTTTTATAAAAAAGAAAGCAAAAATTCACTACCACATTCTTTTTATAAAACCAGCATAACCCTCATCCCAAAACGAGGGAGGGACTCATTAAAGGACGTCAACCATAGACACATTTTTTTTTTGTTCAATATCTTTCCAACTTCTCAAAAAAATATTGGCCAATCGACTTCAACAACTCATCAAAAGAATCATACACCACAATCAAACAGGATTCATTGCAGGGATGCAAAGCTGGTCCAATAAACCCAAAACAAATAATATAATTCATCATACCAACAAGAGTAAGGATAAGAACCACACAGTTATCTCAATAGATGTAGAAAAAGCATTTCACAAGATCCAATACCACTTTATGATTAAGGTTCTGGAAAATGTAGGAATCCATGGAACATTCCTCAATACAATAAAGGCTGTATATGACAAACATACAGCCAGATTTATACTTAATGACGAAAAGTTAAAGCCATTTCATCTAAGTTCAGGAAAGAGATGAGAGTATCCACTCCCTCAGCTCCTCTTCAACCTAGTATTAGAATGCCTAGCTACAGCAATAAGACAAGATGCAGACATAAAGGGAATCCAAATAGGGAAGGATGAAGTAAAACTCTCCCTCTTTGCAGATGACATGATCTTGTATTTAAAGAACACCATGGACTCCACTCCCAAGTTACTTGAGCTGATCAGAAACTTTGGCAAAGTAACACGGGATAAAATTAACCCTCAAAACTCAATGGCTTTTCTGTATGCCAATAATGAGAAGAGTGCAGCTGAAATTAGAAAGCAACCCCTTTTGTAATAGCCCCACAAAAAATAAAATACTTAGCAGTTAACTTAACAAAAGAGATGAAGGACCTATATGATGAAACATAAAAAATCTGACAATGGAAATTAAAACAGAACTTAGCATGTGGAAACACCTCTCTCCCCCATGCTCCCAGATTGGGAAGATTAACTGAGAAAATGGCAATACTGCCAATGGCTATCTACAAATTCAATGTGATACCTATTAGTATTCCAACCTCATTATGTAATGAAATAGAAGAAGCAATCCACAAATTCATATGAAACAATAAAACCATGATAGCAAAAACAATCTTTACTAAAAAGAATAATGCTGGAGGAATATCAATTCCAAATTTCAAACTCTACTACAAAGCCTTAGTAATCAAAACATCTTGGTACTAACACAAGAACAGACCTGAGGGACAATGGCATAGTACTGAAGACCCAGAAATGAACCCACAGACCTATAGCCACCTAATCTTTGACAAGAGAGCTAAAGAAATAGAATAGAAGAAAGACAGTCTTTTCAGTAAATGGTGCTGGCAAAATTAGTTAAATACTTGTAGAAAAGTAAAACTGGATCCTTATGTACCATTTTACCCAGAATCAACTCCAAATGAATGAAAGACCTCGAAATAAAAGCAGACTCCATGAAAACATTACAGGAATAGGAGAAACTCTAGGGTTTCTTGGCACATGCCTAAATTTTCTTAATAGAGACCCAGAAGGAGAACAAATCAAAGAGAGGTTGGACAAATGAGACTGCATGAAACCGCAGAGCTTCTGCATGACAAAGGACATAGCTAGCAAGATCAACAGAAAGCCCACAGACTTGGAGAAGATCTTCACTAGCCATACAACAGACAAGGGTCTCATATCTAAAATATACTTAGAATTCAAAGAACTCAATTTCCCAACAACAAATCCTCAAAGAAATAATTGCACGATTAACACATGGGCTAAAGACTTAAAGAGAGACTTCTATGAGGAGGAAATGAGAATGGCCAATAGACAAATGAAGAAATGCTCGACCTCTCTAGCCATAATAGAAATGCAAATCAAGATAACATTGAGATTCCACCTCACCGCAGCTAGAATGGCTATAGTCAAGAAATCCTGTAACAACAGATGCACAACAGATGCTAGAGGGGATATGGCCAAAAGGGAACGCTACTGTATTGTTGGTGGGAGTGTAGACTTGTTCAATGACTTTGGAAAGCAGCATGGGGGTTCCTCCAAAGAGTCCACATACTTTTGGGCATTTACCCAAATGTTTACAAACAAGACCACACTAAAAATACCAGCACAACTATGTTTATTGCAGCATTATTTACCATAGCTAAAATATGGAACCAACCCAGATGCCCCTCAGTAGATAAATGGATCAAGAAAATGTGGTATATAGACACAATGGAATTCTATGCTTCCATCAGAAAGAATGACATTGCCCTATTTGTTAGGAAATGGAAAGACTTGGAAAAAATTATATTAAGTGAAGTAAGCCAGGCCCAAAGAAACATAGGTCCCATGGTTTCCCTTATTTGCAATATCTAGTATATGTATGAGTTAAGCAGAAAAGGTCAGATAAGGTGATGTTAGGGAAATGAACCCTAAGATATGTATTGAAATGCTTTTTTTTCTTTCATGTGATTGTCTCTACCACATTTATAAGATGATTTCTTTGTTGCTTTGTAT